CATAACACAAAATTCAACATTTCGGTGGCGCATATACAAGTAGGTAGGTAGGAATCTTCCATTTCAAGTTCGTGAACATCTGCTGTGTAAACCATCTCTGGTTGGGCCGTTAAGAGACCGCCTAAACAAGGACTCATTAAGGGTGCGGGTTATAAATAAACTGTATACAGTTGTATCTCGAGCCGAAGGGGCGTAATAGGGAGCACGTGGCGAGCTGATGGACGCCTTGACAGTTGTGGGTAGTTAGGAAGTGGCGAACGAATCGTAATGAGAATTGACGGTGTTCATTTGTTTTCTTGTTACGAATAACAAGAGAGACGTTGAAGATTTTGATTTTGATTTAAAATTTTATTTATAATTAAAACAAGCTTTTTTTGCTGTGCATCGCGTATTGCTGCAACTACAAAAAAAATTAACGAGTTCAGAAAATGCAGCAAACGGACATCGGTTCGATCCCATGCCCTCAACATATTTTAGTTTCTAAGCTCTATATATATAATTATGTTTCCTCACATAACTTGAAATTCTTTTTTTTTTGCATTTTATCATCTTTTTATTTAAAATTATAATCTGTTTATGTGTTGTTCTTTTAAAAACTAAGTTTCGATGTTTCACATCTGCGAGGCGTACAGCCAGGGTTCACTTTATTATTAATGGAGTAATACTTATGCATGGAATTTGACACAGGACGTTATTGCGTTCGGCCTACGCTTTCGCAATGACTGGCCATCGGTGACTCAATTTATTATCTAGAGCTCTTCCGTAATTTACTGACCCAAGAGTGAGACCTTTGCATCAACCAATCCGCATTGGGCCAGTGTGGTGTATCAAATCCCATTCTTCCTAGACGATAAATGAGGTTCCAGGGCACCACGGCGTAAACGACTGGGTCACTGTTCAAAAACCTGCGTCGCGAGGGTTTGTTAACGCAAACCAACGTGGCGTTGGTCATTGTCGTGGATATAATACATTTTTTCTCCCTGTTATCGAAAAAAAAACGGGTAAGCAATGGTGCGTGTGATATGTTTAGTATCGCCTATATGGTGGCCGCTTACCATCAGGCGGGCCATACACTTGTTTGCCACTCTTTAAAAGAATATTAAATATAAGGACTGTGCCATGGTAGTGGAGATATTAAAAGACTTATTTTGCGTGATGCGTACATAACATAACGTAGTGTAGGACGTCCCCAGGCACGATGTAGTGACGATTTGCGCAAGGTGGCTGGCAGGAGCTGGATGCAAGTAGCCCAAGATCGGTCTGAGTGGCGTGCAATTGGAGAGGCCTATGTCCAGCAGTGGACTAGGATAGGCTGTTGATGATGATGATGTACATAACATCATGATGACTCATAAATTGACTTCGCTTATTGATATGATCATCTTAAAAAAGTGATATATACTTGATATTTGAAATATATACGCGCCTACCAGTATACTATAGTATAGCATAGTAATACTTGGACTGAAGAGCTACGGGTAGCGACGTCAGCTTAACGTCGACATTACTAGGGATGCATCAATCAATGTCGTTTATTCATTACCTAGCAGTTTCAATGCGAACATTATATAACATGACACCAACAAATATTCATAACTACCTTTTGCCCACGGTTCCATTTGCGAATACATTTGAATAACACCAAATTTCTTACACTTAAGCGTATTATTGTGTTTACATGATTTTTATGCGCGTGTACAGATAAATCATATTGTATTAGTGTTTTCCTTATAAATGATAGAAAAAAAGTCCTTTGATTTACTATAATTCTTAAAAGAGGAACAATAGAGGAATCTGCTGTATCTTAACTTTAATTTAAAAAGATATTGATACTTGTAACTACAACTTATATCATGAAAAATATTTATATACTTTCACTAAACATGCCGTTGGTTAAAATTCTTCAATTTTTTTTTAATATCATACTTCGGGTATAAAAATCTAATGAATCATACTTGATTTGTGGTTGAGGATTATAATTATTCTTATGTACATCCATGTTTTAAAACCTCTATTAAAGATTCTAAAACAGTAAGCTTATTGCCAACTTTAAAACACCTAATGTCTGTGTAAATAAAAACCATTATAATACCCAAACGGGTGTTATAATGTTGTATTAAATTTCATAATAATACTCTTTCGCCTTTTCGATCCCTTTCGCGCCAACGGCTTACTCATCAGACAGCCACAATTTTTACTGCTCGATGCGAGTTATTATGAATTTCCTTTAATTAAAAAAAATAACATTGCCCCTGGGACTTTTTACGGATTTTTCACTCAGGCAGGATAGTTAAGAAATACACTCTTCCTTTAATTTAGAACAATATCAGATCATTAATTAATATTTTTTGTGAGATTTCGCATACCGTCGTATATTATTCTTAGATAGAGACGGATACACCGATTAGTTGATTAATATCACCCAATTAATCATGTTTCATCATCAATTTGTGAGATGCTGTACAATTTATTCTCCTGGATTACCTTTATCATCGCAAACCCGAGCGGCGCATGTAGTAAGTTGTAATTAATCTTAATAATCTGCTACTGAGAAATGTTGTTTCTGACTACCGACCGACTAGTTGGTTTTCGTACTATTATGAATTATACTACTCGTGGGATTTAGGTATATTAGGGTACCTTTATTAACAAACTACCTTTACTGATAGTGTATAAACAAAATTCACGCTAATTGATAAATCCCTCAATATATCAAGTCTCCTTTATTAGACGTAGCGAAAGAAACCAGAACAGTTCTCCAAAGATTCTGCCAAGTTAATCTAATTAACGAATCTCGATGGTGTTCCAATTTGCTTATTCACAATTTACTTGTTTTATCATTATGTAATGTGAATTAGAGTTTTTGTATCAAGAACTGTGTCAAAAATTAAAAATGTATTAGTGGTACATTTTAGTTTACACCTGGGAAGGAACCATAGAGCAACACTTAAAGGTGTGGCTATAGTTTTTTTAGTGTGTATGCTGTTGGTCACAGATGACCTTTACAGCGTCGTCGGGTTTGGAGACGGCGAGATCCTAAGGGGACCTCAAGCCGAGAATTGGCGAGAGCCCGGCGCCGAGGTATTCCGGGTGGATGGCATCTCCCCACGGGGGGTCTCATATCCGTCTGGAGCCTCCAGACCACTCGAACCTGAGGGGGTTGGCTCAACTAGAGGGCGTCTCTGAAACTCGAACCTCGGCTCTAGTTAGCCGTTGTCGTGGGTGGTCGTCTGTAGACCGGGTCTTCGCACTCCTATCCTACGAGAAGCGGTGTCTGCTAATGCCAAGCTAGTGTGCCAGTTTCCTAGCTGTGTAGTGTCGGTGTTTGTAGCCTGTGTGAGAGGAATCGGAAGCCCGTTGGCGCGGGTGATTTCGTCGTCGGGGTACTCTAAGACGGGCCTGGACCGACGGAATCGGAGGGACCTACGATTTAAGGACGGGAGGACGTACGTGTGATAACTAATTGCTTTTACTACTAAGGGGTTCGGATGATGCGCGGCTTTATCGAAGTAACGTCTCGAGACGTCCTTCATATACTTGGCGATGGAGTCTAACTTGAGTTCGCGATGCAAATCTATGTTGCGCACGTACCACGGGCAGCCTGTGGCACCGCGCAACACCCAATTCTGTAGCGTTTGTAATGGTTTAAGATGCGATGGAGGTACGTGGGCGAAACAAACACTCGTGTAGGTCATGATAGGGCGGATGCAAGTTTTGTAAATCGTCAACTTATGCCTAAGTGACATTTTACTGCGCTTCCCTATGAGGTGGAATAATATATCAGTTATTTCTTTGATGCTTTTAACCTCATATGCTGCGCGATCTCAAACTCTTGAGATGAGGTGCAAACCTCAATCGATTATCTAACGTGACTCTCAAGTACTTGAGCCGGGCCTCCCAAGGGGGCCATAGCGATATAACGCTATTCAAATCATTCTGCTATTTTTTCCCGGGGATATGCACACAAATGCATTTTAATATATATACGCGAAAAAAACAAAACTGAAATGACACACTCACTCAATGACTAATACACCGCCAAATCCTGCATACATGTATCACTTGTATGCCCAATTTTAATAAAGGGGTAAGCTGTGTGTGCTTGCTCCCTTCCTGTTCGCATCGGCCGGGTTGCTCTATGCCGGAAAGTAATCTTCACCTCACAGAAGACCACATTAAAATAACAGCTTTTAGGAGGCGTTGTGTTTCTCTCGTTGAATAAGGTTTCAGGGCTCCTCGAAGTAGGGGACATTTATTGTTCAGGTCAGCAAGGCGACGATGGCTGGAATAGCACATTTATCTTGTTGCATCAGCTAATCTCACAACTGCACTCCACTCACATTTTAATATCAGGTGGAGTGTGATAATATTCTGCTTATTGTATAAAACCATCCCTTTGGGTGGTAATTGTTCCTCACCGGCGAAAACGATTAAAAGCACTAAAGAAATTTGCTTGTTCTTGCTATTTGAAAGCTTAAATTTGAATTACTTAACATTTGCTCGCAGTTTAAACTATTCGAATGTGACAGGGTATGAAGTTTCTTGCTGGCCTTAAGCCTCGCCCAAAACTGGGTCTATAGCCATGAAGCTTCGCCCTTTGATCGCGATAGATGCAGGTATAGGAAGTCATTGTCTATCGTAACGAAGAATTATACTGCGTGACGATAGATGCTAGACAATAGCTTGACTGGCAGTTTTTGACACACATCAAAGAGGTTGTGGGACACGATAAATTTGTGTGTACAAGTGAAGGAGCATACAACCAATCCAGTAGCGGCGAAAATTTTGACTCTATTTTTAGCGCAATAAGTAGCCAAAACTTCGTCGCGCAAGTGTGAGAGAAGCATTAGACAATGTTAGGGGCATATTATACATAGGTATAAACAAGGAAAAAGGCCGCCTATTGTATATATTAATACATAGGTATAAAGTAGACTACGGTATAGCCGTAGTCTACTTTTCGTTGAGACTAGGACTGAATATAACTTTTCTTTTCACAGAACTCCTGCTCGGCACTCTTCGGACGCACCAGAAGGCTGCGTGCGACGAGGAGATGGTGACGCTCATATGTCCCAGAGGCACCACCATAAGCATCCAAGTGGCTCAGTATGGTGCGTCGGCGTCGCAGAATTCCTGCGCCTCAGAGCTGGCGGAGTACCAACCAGTGGCGGTCGAAGTAGTTGGGGATACTTCATGCGCGTGGCCTAGCACATTGCAGGTTTGTTGTTTTTTATCATCCATGAAGGTTGCCAATTAAATTTTTATACGGAGTTTATCTACATAAGTGAATATTTTACCTTTTTTGGTTATTATTTATTTGGTTGAAATTTGGTTCTTTTATTTATTTTAGGAAATGATGAAATAAGTAATTTTATATTTTTTATATGTAATAATATTCGTTATTAAAAAAACGTTAAGTATACAATAGGCGGCCTTTTTCCTAAACAGTAATCTTTTCCCGGCAATCTATGGTGAAAAGGAATAATAATAAAGAAGTATAGAAGAGTGCAAAAGTAGACGCAGGACATATACACAAAAAAGAATCTTCCATCAATGGAATTTTGCAATGGATTTTAGTGGACCGGGGCATTCTTTTGTGGTCATATTCGTATTAATTTTTCCATATAACCCCCAACCATTGGTAGAAATAATTTGCAAATCTCAATGGACTCCATGTGAGTACAATTGCGTGGGGTCCACTGCTGATAATAGACCGAAGACCTTCTTATCCATATATATATATATTCCATAAATATCTACTAAGTTGGTTCACATTATATTCATAAATCTAAACAATGGCACAATTAACAGTTGTCTAATAATTTAGATACAACTCTTGTAACTACGGTATTATCAAGTACTCATATATGAGGTTGTAGTAATATATCGTTAAGTCTGCATGCGATGGCTCAAAACATCAATCTAATATATAACTTAGTTAAAGAAGAGATATAGGTTTGCAAACCAATGAAGCTTAGTAAGTAACTAACTTACTAAGCTTCGTTGATCTGCAAATCTCTATCGTAATGGTTAGAAACAGCCTCACGTCCCAATGCTGAATGTCGATTCTTGACATTATTAGATTTGTTGTATTATGATTATTAGCGACACTACAAGAACAACTAGTTCGATCTTGAGTGATTGGAGCACTTACAGCAATGAGAAATAAAACTAATTTCTTGACATGTGTTGCACTAGCTTGTGCCAAAGACTCGCCTGCCTATTTACAAAATTTCGTCTCTTAAAGTAATATAAGTTATTTACGGGATTGTACCTTGTTTTTAGGGAGCCTACCCGCAATTACCCCAGTTTCTCCGTGAATGGCGTTTGCAACAGTGCCGAAATATCGGAAACTCGCTAAAAACTAGGTACATGGTAACAATCCCGTAAATAACTTATATTACTATAATGTTAGTGACCATGAAAGTTTAAAGGAATATTTCGTCCCTTATTTCAATTTCTTGTTTTCTTGACGAAAATAATGTGTTTCACTAATATTCGTTTGTATTAATCACCAATTCATCAAAGTACCACGAAAATCTAAATAAATGCGTACTAGGTATTATATGTAGCTGCAAACTTCTTGAGCAAAACCTCAGACAAATGAACTTGCGCAGTAGAAGTTGCTGTATGTAAAATTGCTTCTGCACAGGCTTCCTCGTCTATGCTTAATCTATTAGTCTTAGTCTTTGTAGTACGGCGGGCTGTTTCCGCAACTCGACACCCAGTGCTTATTTTGCGTGGGAGCTCCTCCAGAAAGCTCAGCAGTCCCCGAATGTTGCTGCCGGCCTCTACTATTGTCTTTTGGGCTTCCCATTAGAGGAGTCCTTTGTCTTGCAACGCCCCTGCACTCCAGTAGGACATGGGCGCTCATTTCATCCTCCTCCAGGCAGGCTCTGCACAGAGGGCTGTCAGAAATAGGTACTATGCTCAATCTATACCCAAGAACGTCTAATGTTTGTTTTCTAGTAAAACTTTCTTTAGATCTAAACATCTAGCAGTTAAATACCTAAAAGAAATATGAATAAAGATACTCAAGAAGTTTGCCGCAATATTTTACTATTACCTAAATAAAATATGGGTGATCTATGGGGTTATCTTCACGTGAGTCTTGCAAGAAGCCTTTCTTTAAATCATTGGGCATACGGCCTCTTCCATGTTACATGCTTGTAAGAGTAGAGTGGGTAATTTTGTAAAAATAACCGCAAAAGTGCTATTTGGGCTCTCCCACTGAGGGTTCCGTACAAAGGACAATGGCGAAATATTTGTTGAAGTAAATCTTTAGCGTCTGTAGATGTCATTGTCAGAAATTTTAATAAAATAATCTCAAAAGATTTATTAAACAATTAAGGAGGGTAGTCTAAGTCTGGAATTAAAAACTTAAAAAAAGGGAAACACAATTGACTATTTTTTTAGTTTTATTGTGGTATGGCATCATGGCTTTTGAGCCATTTATTTTAAGTGATTTTAGTGATGAAATCAACTTTAAATATGTTGTTCGCATGTTTTCATCGCTATACGCTTAAACTGTATTTAATTATCTATCAAAAATATCGGGAAACATTATTTTTCAATATTATACTGAAACCATAATAAATAATCCCCACAATACAAAAAGAGTATGGCGCCAATTCTAATGCAAAAAACTATAACTGTCACTGTCATGCTTGTCATCGAATTGTTGTTGATAATGTTATCATTAACTTTGCTTGTGCCTAGGTGCATGCGTATTGCAAAGATTTAAATCGGCGTATTGTGTTTTTCTGAGATTTTATGTGACTTTGACTGCATTTGTACTTTCGAAATCTACACTATAGTACACTTCTATAGTTCCATTCCACGTATTTTTTATTTTGATATAAAAATACTCTTGAAAATACTTTTACAATTCGTTTTTGTATTACTTGGTATGTCGTAACTTCCAAACCTTAGTAGAATATTTATAAAACCAGACTTCCTATAATAAAACAAATAAGACGAATCAAATCGAGAATCCAAACTCTATAATTTAACATGCAATTCATTTACAGACGCAAAAAAATTTTCAACAAAAAATTGTATGGGAGTTCGCCATTGTCCTTTGTAGCATAATTCGATTCAAGTAAAATAAAATAAAACATGAATATTTATCCAAGTTGAAAACCTTTTGTGTTCTATCTGTCAATTGATTTAAATATTACTTTTGAGAATATTATCAGAATTTAACAGCTAACAGTTCGTTAAATATCTAATGACAGCTTTAAGCAAAGTTGAGAACCTTCTTGGTCTTACGTTAACTTAGTGAAAATTATGAAGTCTGTAAGATTATTAAGACTTAAATTATTTATTCAGATTCGCCGGCGTTTGTTTGCATTAGACCATTAACAGAAGCCCAAGACTAGCAATCAATTAACTAAACAGAATTATGAAGGCGAAGAAAATGGGAAAAGGGAGACTAAATAATAAAAGAACAATCTTCAGAAAGCTTTGGAATAAGGTTATTTTGAGATAAATGAATATATCGGCTGGCTGCTTGTTATGTCGACAGGCAAATTGAGTATAATTAAAAAAAGAAAAGAATTTAACTCAGTACTAAAATCAAAGGAAAATCTAAAAATAAAGCTTTAGAGCAGAATAATCTTGAAATACCTAATAACGCAATGATTTATTCTGATCACTAAGATGCTATTTGGTATTCGAGGCACCATATTTATAGTCACGACTAAATATATTTAGAAAGAGTAGCTAGTTCCCGTGACTTTCACTGCATCACATAATCGGTTCCCATACACAATGCCCCTATTTCATTACCTTTAAGTGTTAAAGGTCTTCCGACACCCAACTGAAGCAAGAATACTAACTGACCCAGCGACCGTCCATTCGCTCACTACATCTACTCGGTGGCACTCGGCACTTGGTGATCATCCGCATCAAACGTTTTAGGTACACCACATAAGTAAAAAAGGCTCATATCTATATATATAAAACTTAAAGGTGACTGACTGACATAGTGATCTATGAACGCACAGCCCAAACCACTAGACGGATCGGGCTGAAATTTGGCATGCAGGTAGATGTTAGACGTAGGCATCCGCTAAGAAAGGATTTTGATCAATTCTACCCCGAAGCGAAGCGAGGGCGGGCCACTAGTACAAGATAAAGCTTCATTTCGCGTCATTGATTGCACGTACGCAGAGAAGCGTTGCCATTGGCGGCGGCAGGTCGCCAGCACTCACACACGTGCACTACATGAAGCATTGCCTTATTTACTCATGTGTGCAGACCGCGCACTGTAACAACACGTACTCTTAAGATACCAATAAATGTTGGCCTAGCTTAACCCAACGCGAGCGAAGCAAACTGATAAGGCAAGTGCTACCATCTAGATGTTGGGCAAGTTTGAAGAAGGCCAATGCAAGTAGCCAATATAGACGAGCTTTGTTGATGAAATGCCTTTACGTTGATACGCTATCAATTTTTATGCACGACGTGAGCAAAATCTTGGCGAGTGACAGCGTGTGCCGAAAGGCACGCCAAATCGCCAACGTGTACAGACCTCACACGTTTGCGATTTTCTTTACTCGACAAACTAGGCAAGCGATACTGAGCGCTGACAAGGTAAGACAAATATGCTGTCTATACGTTGGTCAACATTCGCTTGACCAAGCTAAGGCCAATTCCACGTACGGCTTAACATTTGGATTCCGAGCGTTAATCACGCTACCTCTACTAGTCCAACTACCTGTACACAGCAAGTGGGCTTCGAAAGACGGAATCTGAGTGGCTCTAATGAGCGAAGACCGGACCAAAATTAATCAAATTTGCTGCAGTGGTTTAGTTGTGAGAATATTTAAAAGTAAATATAGATTTCTCTAAGGCATATCTTGACTCGTAGAGATAAAAAACGCATCAAACACGAGCAAAGCACAGCACATAGGTACCTACACAATCTCTAAGCTCATTTTTCGAGTTTACCAAGATTATAGGGGTGAGAGTAAAGATCGACTGTTGATCGTAAAACGCGCTTATTGCCTAAACATATCAGAAAATGAGCCGTAAAACAGCAACCCGGGTAGACACAGCTATAAATATGGCAACATGCTCGCACACCCGAGGGCCGGATTTCATTAATGTTATTGCTTGCGACTAATATGGACCAGGACAGATAGGATTGTGTCCGGCTTTTATTATCGAGACCGTATTCGTTATTGTTGTATTTAGTGGTGAAATGTTTGTTTTTCAAATATGCACCGATGGCTTTTATGTGTTTTGCGTGCAGCCTCAGTCCAACAATGGAACGCATGGCTTAGTGAACAATCATTTTTATATAAAATACTTAGAGCCGTACTCAGAAACGTCAAATTAATTGAATGCTTAGTTAAGTCACGCTTTACATCATTCGCAAAGAAAGTGACATCATCAACTTTAGTCAAACTTAAAAGTTAACTAACTTTCTCTCTGCGTGTGCGGCCGTTAGTAATAAATAAATAAATATTTCCACATTCACACCAATCAGCCTAGCCCCAAAGTAAGCACTACAAGGCTTTTGCTATGGGATACTAGAGTAACGAATAGAATACATATATTGTACATATAAAACTATATTTTTATAGAAATACATATAAAACATCCATGACTGGAGTACAAATGCTCGTATTCATCACACAAACATCTGCCCCCACCGGGATTCAAACCTGGGGACCTCTCGAGTCGGTGAAAACCGGTGTATAAACCACTTGGTCACTGAGGTCGTCATTGTTTATGTTATTGAAATTTCTATTCAGCAACAGAAGTTTGTACAAAAATTATTTATCGTTTTAAAGAAATAAAAAACACAACAAAACGAAGACGCCTAGAAACTGTGTGCGCTAATTAATTAGTCTGCTAATACGAATGCATGTTGAAAAAGTAACATTAGTAGCTTTTAATTAAAACGTTTGAGGTGAGCAGCTTACAGCCGTCTAACATCACTTATTTCAATTCGATTTATTGTTTGATGCAATCCCCTATTTCATTCCCTTTAAGTGTTAAACGTCACCCAGCTTTCGACCAGCACCATCACATCTCCCAATAGCATCATTCACTTAATTACAACACCTCATAACCACTTTGATTTTTATTGCTGACAAACCTACTTGCTATTCGTAAAAAATAAGCACTCCAATCATTACGCGGGAAATAGAACAGCTATACCATGTCATTCTATCACTGCCGGTTCTTTGTGACCTTCGTTTGTGACTTATTTTTTGTCATACGTACTAGGTATTAAAAACTATAATGTTTGTTTGTATCGCTGAACGTGACAGCTGCTTGTCATCCGTGTAAAACATAAAAGCGAGTCGACTGAATTTTATAACCCACTTTATTTATGTAGGCGACAGAACGGCAACTTCGAATACTGAGTGACACTAACTTTAGCACATGGTTTCATTGGTAGTAAAAAGTTTAGCCAACCAGTTTCTAAGCGTCTTTGTCTTGTTATGTTTTTAGTTTTTTTTTTAAAATCAACAATTTTTGTATAAACTTCTGTTGCTGAATAGAAATTTCAATGACACTAACGGCCGCACACGCAGATAGAAAGTCAACTTTTAAGTTTGACTACAGTTGATGATGTCAGATTGCGAAATATGTAAAACGTGACTTAATTGAGTATTAAATTAATTTGACGTGTCTGAGTACGCCCCAAGTAATTTTTATAAAAAATATTGTTCACTAAGCCAAGCGTTTTCATGCTGGACTGGGGCTGCACGCATACTTTTTCCTGTAGCGCAAAGAATTGTAACGCCAGTCTGGGCAAGTACCATCCACCTAACAGAAGATTGCAGTTAAATAAAACTATTCTTAAGACCGCAGACCGGACGGCAGCGGCTCGGTTACAGGAGGTAGCGTTGAGGCGTGTGTTAGCCATAGCTGTCGATAATATTTTATGGTTACATCTCTTTAGTCGTGATTAATGGGGATGACGATGTCGATGACGTGACGGATGGGGAATCAATTTTTGAATTTCATTCTAATTTTAATACAGAAATAAGACAAACAATTAACACACACGGAGCAATTATATCAATGATAATAATATTGAATATACTAGGACTAGGTATTTTGAATACAAAATATAATCCTCACATGATTCCTTTCGTGTCCTTTTATTCAGGGAGCAACACTTCACAAAACTAGAGCTAGACAGCAGTATCCTTGCTCGGTATGGAAATACGCTTTGACTTAAATCCAAAGAATTAGATCGAAAGCGTGTAAAAAAACGGCCTCACGCAAACATTACAGCGGTGCGCGATTTGCATCATAGGCGATGAGGAGGTGACTAAACACCTCGAGCCTCTTTAATTACGGCGAGTATTCTGAAGAGTTATTCTCTCTTATTCCACCTTTCCCTTTCCTTCAGAGGACCACGCGCGCTGGCCTACGTTGTCACCGCCAGGCCACAATTCCTACACGTACAAGAGCGTCGCCAAGGCAAGGGGCAACTGCTGGATTGAGCTCCATAATCCACAAATTATCTCGACAGAACGCCACTACATACTAAGATTGGTCAGGGAAGCGATTGAAATAACCAAACACAGGAATTTCAATCGTGAGGATGATTCAGTGGTTCGTATGTGTAAAAACCGCAAAAATCAAATGACTGTCGTTCCTCGGTTGATTGTCGTTGTACTGTGAGTACTGTGTGTCGGGAACAGGTGCGAGTGAATAGTGAAAATGCGCAGTAAAAGACGCCGTCAGAGGGTAGACCGATATGTCTTCCAATAATATCTACCTGCAATTACTTCAGTTACTCCGTGATCATGGCACTTGCAACAGTGCCGAAATATCGGAGACTCATAAAAAACAAGGTACATGGTAACAATCCCGTTAATAGCTATAATGTTAGTGAACATGAAAGTTTAAAACAATATATGCCGCTTTATATTTAAGAGCTGCTTGAATTTAAACAGGATGGACTTAATACCATTAATGACTGAATAAATGTTGTTACAATTTTAAAGTGGAAATTCAATTTTGTATTACTAAACTTTATTCATCAAAAGAAATAACTAACCTGTTCCTAATAAGTGTCCGATAGACCTGAGTTACCATTTACTAATTTATACCGCACGGACAACAAATATTTATTTGAATTGAAAGGTATTTTAGACTTAAATAAAAAATATATAATTTTTTTAGATTTTGTGATTTTGTTTTTATGAATTCGGTTTATATTTATGTTAAAAAAGTTTTGGTTGTGTTGTGTTTTTGGTGATCTAACTAAAAAGTGAAATAAAATACTTAAGATAACTTCACGAATTGGGGATTGTGTTTAGGCAGGCAATTCGAGAACGGCTGGAGCGGCACACTATTTTATCATATTACTAGCTGTCCCAGTGAACTTCGTACCGCCATAAAAATAGGGATTGGTGGTAGAAGAGTGAAAATTTAGGGTTGTATGTATTTTTGTATGATGTATCATAAAAAACAAAATCAAAAAAAATGTCCAAAAATAATTAAGGGTGGACCACCTTTAACATTTAGATGGGATGAAAAATAGATGTTTTCCGATTCTCAGACCTACTGAATATGCATATAAAATTTCACGAAAACCGGTCGAGCCGTTTCGGAGTAGTTCAATTACGCACACCGTGACACGAGAATTTTATATATTATGATGTATCGTTGCAATAGAACTTCATTTATAGTTAACATCAGGACGTGGAGTAGTATAATTTGCTGCACTTTGTTTATAAAAAATCGCCCACCGAGGGTTCCATACAAATTTGTAGGTACGCAACATAAACGGCCGTATCTTTAGATTAACATTAACTTAGAAGTTTGATTTTCACGTTTCGTTTCAGCGTCAAGGGACTGAAGACTTGAGTGTAGTCTAAAATTCAACTCGATACTTCCATGGGTTCCCGAGATAAAGGGTCTTGACAAACAGATGGATAAAAGAGTGATCTTAATCTTTCCAGTTCCGTTTTGTTTGACGCACGGCATCCTCAAAACATGCAGCCAATAAGGGTACTACTAAAACTAATACTACTTACTTATGTATATGTTACAAGATTTTGAGATCAATGTAGCAAAAAAGTTTTTTTTGTTAGATAGCGTGGCTTAGAGTGGCAACGCTCGCAATGCCAAATAGCTACAAGTTTGAACAGTGCTTTATAGAACCGTAATTTAGTCAAATTTTGTGAGAGCGCCGTCTGTATGTCTGCTAGGCCTCCCCGTAACGGCACAATTTATTTTTAACGTGTCAATATACCGCCATTGCTTGAGAACTGGCATACTAACTGATGTGTATAGTATTCCTTGCTGCAGACGGTGGTGGAAGCGTGTCAAAAGAAGCGGCAGTGCAAGTTTCACACCAGCCCGAAGGCTTTTGGGGTCGACCCCTGCCCCGGGTCCAGAAGATTCGTCGAAGTAGCCTACAAATGCCGTCCATGTAAGTTGTTGTGAACTATTTACTATATTTTGATATTAACTTTTTGCAAATATTTTAAATGTCATTGTTTTGTTAGTCTCTTTAAAAAAATACAGTAGTTTGTGATTGTGCCAAGTTCGCTCGTTTAATTTCATTAAAATTATCAAAATTTTCGATAATTTCCATTAATTTCGTTCAATTTTACGGGCCATCGCTAACATAAGTACTACGTATAATGGCATTATTTTCATTTAGCGTGATTTGCACCAACTTACTTCATCGTTAACTGTCATGTCTTTAAAGGGGTAGGATAATTTTCTGCACCTTTGCTCCACCGCTAAGCTTAGAATCTCCGACACCACCTAGGTTGACTGGAAGAGATCTCTTTTAGAGATATGCTCACCTTTTCTTACTACTTATTTTACGTTGTATAGTTGAATTATTTTTATGTCATAAAGAGTATAAAAAAAGTCTTAGTGAATATTTACTTTAACTTAAACTAGCTCTGTGGTGCAACTCATACTAAATAATGTATATATATTGATAGTAGTGATGCGGCAATAGATTGGAGTATCAGCAGAACTCACTATCCATGGTATCGAAAGCTTGCAAAATAGTTACAAAATCAATATCCAATACCTCAGTTTCAATTAAAATTGACTACTTGAACAATTTTGCACGCAACTATTAAAAACTATACTAATGCCACCTGTGCGTCTATAATAAAAACCTCATTAATGGCCTAATAAGGTTAATGACATTTGCAACAATTTTTTTTCGTTTCCGTTCAATGGTTGTTTTGTGCTGCTTTTAGAATTGTGTCTAAATATGAATAGAAAATATAATTATAATGGGCCAACATAAAATATTGCCCAAACTCTCCTAGAGTTTTATTCTCTGAATCATTAAAATTTTAGTTTTATACAGAGAAAAGCAAGTAAATGTAGGGTTTATACAATATAATTATATTATTGCATGGTATTAAATCATTATTAAGGACTTCAGGAATACAACAATTACTGAACTAAAAAGACAGATATTTGTTTTTTACAATAATGTTTTAAGCAAGTTACAAAATAATGCCTTATTTCACAAGAGATTTTCTTTGTTTAGCCTTTGTATTGAAGTCTCTCAGTTCTGTAATTTGGACATGTACTTATCTCGTTAAAACAACACGTAATTAATATTAAATTAATTAACTACTAAACGTATAAGCAAAAAAATCAAAACAACTCGGTTTCATTTAACAAAGACCAAGAATGTTAGTGAGATAATGATAAGTAGGTACTCTACTTCAAAATGTTACTCAGAACTAAAATTAACCTTCTCACGAATTAAATTATGTAAAATGAGTAAGCGTTGTCTGCTATGGAACCACTAGACATAATGTAGTGCAAAATTAAGGTTGCACGGAATTAACATAAAATTGATTGCGTTACTTAAGGCCTGGTAGATGGAGCTGTGTAGTTTCATTGTTTTATTATTTAAATCATGTTACGAGTTCTGTGATGTTGTTGATGAGTGTATACTTTCATAACAATATAGTTTTGGATTTGTAGCATAAATAACTATTACAATGTGTTTACATTGATGAAAACACATTGTAATAGTTATTTATGAAAACAACTCGGTTTCATTTAACAAAGACCAAGAATGTTAGTGAGATAATGATAAGTAGGTACTCTACTTCAAAATGTTACTCAGAACTAAAATTAACCTTCTCACGAATTAAATTATGTAAAATGAGTAAGCGTTGTCTGCTATGGAACCACTAGACATAATGTAGTGCAAAATTAAGGTTGCACGGAATTAACATAAAATTGATTGCGTTACTTAAGGCCTGGTAGATGGAGCTGTGTAGTTTCATTGTTTTATTATTTAAATCATGTTACGAGTTCTGTGATGTTGTTGATGAGTGTATACTTTCATAACAATATAGTTTTGGATTTGTAGCATAAATAACTATTACAATGTGTTTACATTGATGAAAACACATTGTAATAGTTATTTATGATAAAAAATGCAGGAAGTTGTTTCGTCAGTCGTTATTACAAACGAGTAGACCATAACCACGAGTTTGTAAATGCTAATCGGCATGAATTTCATTCAACGTTTTTCAACACACTTGCGAGAAAACTGTACCTATATCTACCAATCCCCTATTGTCACTCACCAATACCCACTATCACCCACCAATTCCATATTATCACCCATCATTACCTACTATCAGCCACCAATCCCTTATTATCACCCACCAATCCCCTTATTCCCCTCGAATCCCTTTCACCCTCCAATCCCCTTTTCGCCCCCGAATTCCTTATCATCCATAAATTCCTTTTTAGCCTCGAATTCCTTTTCCTCCCTTTATACACTCCAATTCCCTTTTCACCCTTTAATCCCTTTTTACCCTCCAATCCCTTTTCACCCTCGAATCCCCTTTTCACTCTCGAATTCCTTTTCACTGTCGAATCTCCTTTACACCCTACAATCCCCTTTTCGCCTACCAATCTCCTATGCTCATTTAGTTTAACAACTTTCTGATGCAGATGGGTCAAAATTGCCAAGGTTGAAAATTTGGTTCCGACACCATTTTTCCTAATTAAGTCTTGAAATAGTTGGATTACAATTGTTTTTAAATATCAGAATTAGTTAATTTTATCTAAACCCTTCATTAATTCTTTCAATCTATTGTCCTTTTTTTCGGACAACTTTGATCAATAATGTGCTAGTAGGTACAAACTTAAAATTACAAGGTAAGGTGTTAGTATTTTATATCTAGCAGTGACATTGTTGTTTTTTATCAGACTGCCGATCAGAGGACAGTTCTCACTGTCGATTTATTTCTTTCAAGAATGATGTAAATATTTTTTTTCTTCCATGAAACTAATCAATATATCATTTTGGGAACGGATTCCAAGACGCATTTCCGTATTTGAAATGATTATAAAACATTGAAATACTCATTGAAAAATATTTTTTTTCTTTCATGTTTGCTGCACTTCTATTATATGTAGTAGCATCATCACAACTATAAATAAAGAAAAATTAAGTAACTTCACATTTATTTAACGAATAACTTTGTCCTGTAGTTTGTAGATCAGTTCGTAAACGCACTCAAAACTGTCAAAATGTAGTGCCAAATTAAGTCATGCAAGGCACTACTGTGCAGGCACATGATGAAATTTTTTGAGTGTACACAGCGTTTGGCTGTTTTATGGCGGTTTTTAATGAATTTTCTTGGTAAGATTTTTTTTTAATATCATTTATTCACCATCAGAAAATACAAACAGTTGTTAATCAGTGTTAGAATATTTACATCAAGTTTATATTAAGGTATGCGTAACAACATCAAAGACTGACAGCTACCCTCCGCTATAGTAACAAAACTGTATACTAGATTATTTTAGTGATGGATTTTGGTCCCGTACATCAATAGAATATCATAACGGGAACGCCTCACAATCATTAACATAATGATAAATGAAGACAATTAGTCTTAATCTTATTAAAATAATGCTGTTCTATTTCCGTCAGTGTTGTATAATAGCGTCCAAAATGGCCGACGGTTATTTAAAATAATACAAAGCGTTTAAAAATCATTTCGAGAACGGTCATTTAAGAATGTTGCTTTGCAAAATCTATAAACGATATGACAGAAAGGGAGAAACCCAGGAAAAAGAGTTCTGCGGATAGTACGTTCTAGAAAATAAAGGCAGCAGTTTTTTTTATTCATACTAAAATTAGTGACCTGTGTAATTTTAGGAAACGCTTTTCTCATTTCGGGAACGTCGCGATCTATCAGTGAACGTTTTGTCATTCGAAAACGCAACAACAGTATTGTTTTTTGGTTTATGACAAAATATAATGGATTTATTGATTAATAAAATTTTCTAACATATTATGAAAAAAAGAGAACATAACACAATGTAGACAATAGATTTTAATGTGTTTTATTTAATATTTATTTCAGTACCGGTTTTCCAAACTAAGCTTTCTCAAATTTATATTTTTTTACACAAATATTATTTTTTGTAATAATCTTATGTTCCCTGAATGATGTCGACTCACAGTCACTTAGGAATGCTGGATAAATAATTAAAATGTAAATAATTTGCGCGCTTCTTTTACAGGGCAATTAGTTATAGTTATGTGTACATTGTAAGTTATTTCTTGGATTACCATTGTAATGTCTTAATTTTTACAAATTTTGCATTTCCGAATTTGTCACCTTAGTGATTTTGACCTAGATCCTCCTCCTCTCTCACTCTAACCCGCAGCGCCGCTTATATTAGTGAGATTCGAGCGATATTAAAACCGCAAAGAATACGCACGACGCCATGTATGGGAGCGTGTGTTAAAATGTTTTACCGCACGCTCAGAAATCAGAAATTAATATATCTTTATTCAAATTGGATGTATAGTATAATAGGACGAGTGCCAATGATTGGGTGGTTTCCCCTATCTTTATTCAAATTGGATGTATAGTACAACACTTTTGAATCGTCCAAACATTTGTTTTTCCCTACCACTCGTTATTGCACATATTTTTTAGCTGCGGAGAAAAACGAGCGAAAAAAACTCCACAACATTAAAAGCATAATGTAACAACATTTACAAATCATTATGTTGTTACAACGTCAATACAATCATGATTTATTTAATATAGAAAACCTGGTGGAATGATTGGAACAGTTCAAACCCAAGCATTTTTGTCTGTAATATAATCAGACACTTTGTAATAAGCTTTTTAATAAGTGCTTAAAAGATAGAGAATATAACAAAAATGAAAGGAAAAATAAATTACGGGCGATCTGAGGTCGGGAAAGGGGAGGGGGTGAGTTTTTAAGGGTAAAAAATGGTTAATCTCGATTTCCGGTAAAACTCCAAGTCCTATGAAAAAAAATTAAATGGCAAAGTTGTAGGTCATAAAAAGATCTACAACTTTTGTATCGACACTTTTTTCACATAACCTCAAAATTTATGTGAAGAATGCAAATAACCGAGTTTTTGGTTTTTGATTTTTTTTTGCAAAAAAAAATATTTTTCACCAAAATTTGGTGAAAACTTACCTTTGTATGTCCCAAACATACAGTAATTTTTTTGATTTAAAATATTAATTTTTTCACCTTATTTTGACTTAATATCCAAAAAGCACTCTAATTTTCAATTGAAAATTCTCACGTCAAAATATCTGCTTTTTTAAAAAAGTTGGGGTGTTTTCTGTTTGTTGAAATCTCTACTTTCTGATGGTATAAAAAAAAATATACACTACTATGATAAATGTTCTCAGAAAATGCAAATTAATAATGAAAAAAACTCGAATCCGAAAAATTGATTTGAATCATTATGTATAATTTTGAACTATTTATTATAACCAACTTTTTCAAAAAAGCAGATATTTTGACGTGAGAATTTTCGATTGAAAATAAGGGTGCTTTTTCGATATTAAGGCAAAATAAGGTGAAAAAAATATTTTAAATCAAAAAAAATACTGTATGTTTGGGACATACAAAGGTAAGTTTTCACCAAATTTTGTGCAAAAATATTTTTTTTTTGCAAAAAATAAAAATCAAAAACCAAAAACTCGGTTATTCGCATTTTTCACATAAATTTTGAGGTTATGTGAAAAAAGTGTCGATACAAAAGTTGTAGATCTTTTTATTACCTACAACTTTGCCATTTAACTTTTTTTCATAGGACTTGCAGTTTTACCGGAAATCGAGATTAACCATTTTTTACCCTTAAAAACTCACCCCCTCCCCCTTCCCGACCTGAGATCGCCCGTAATTTAGTTTTCCTTTCATTTTTCTTATATTCTCTACCTTTTGTAATGGGTTTCATCCTACTATAATTTTTTTTGGTCTCAAAAATTATCGACCCTGGTCTATGTGTGAACATCACTGTTTTTAAGAAACAAATTAATATTTTTTTCTTACAAGTAATAAATTTTCGTAAATGTATTGTGATGCGACCGTCATTATACCAAATTCTTTAAACTTATCTCTTAAGGAATCCTTAACTTTAAGATTATAAATTGATCGATTAGCTCGCTTCGTTGCATGGCTCGTAATTTTGAACTTTCGAACAATATAACCGTAAATGCATTTTTGAACAAGTATGTTGAAAAAAATATGATATTTGAATTATATTAGTAACGGGCTCCCTCTATCGGGCAGAGTCTTTTTGCTCCAAAATTAATTTGACATAACACAATCTGGCGTACTTAAACTCTTTTGAACAAATATTTGTAAGGCATATTTTTCTAAAGTATAATTTTTATTTAGCCGTATGGTTATATATCCGAATTCACAATACCATAGTTTTAAGATGAAATAATGTTAATTATTAGGCATACCTTTTACCTTAGACAAAATTTTATGCTGCATTATTTTGTTAAGCATAACCGATGTTTATAGTCAGTAGGGAAGGTTAAGGTGGTGACCAAAACTTTTAAATAAGTGATTGTGATGTCTAATAATGAAACGATTTTCCGCGAAATGAAGATGATATAATCCGCTTATATGCATAGCAGCATTATGAAATTAAAAGTTCTGCGATGAAAGATAGACCCATTAGTAATTACATTAGATTACTCACGAACACAATTTTGTACTAAGTTCTTATTGTTAAATTATGGTAAATAAATTAATATAAAACATTTTATTTTAGATTTAATTAGAAACCTAACAATGGAGAAGCTTGAATACCTATGAAAAGGCTTCCATAATTCCTCTCCATAGGATTAATTTCTAAGATTATTGAATTATGTAAGTTCTGCGAAAAGCAGATATTAAAATTGTCTCTCACAGTGTTGTTTAGTAACACTTATTAAGCTTCAAGTTGAATATCAAAAATCATTTTCATACTTATTATAAAAGCCTACCTATTCCGTGAAATATTATGGAAAGGAATGAAGTTGATATGTGATTGTTACTTGGAGTCGACATAAGCTTGATTTCTAACTACTTTGTTATTAAAGATGTTAATGTCAAGTTACACTTAATATAAATAACACTATTTATATGACATAGCAATAAAAATGCAGGTGAAGAATTATTGTATATTTGACATTATGTAATGCAAGATGACATCAGGAATCATCTCTGTAATCATTTATCAAATTGACGACTCTGTAAATAATAATACAGGGAGAAAAAAAAAGCCCTTGCTCAGTTTCTTGCCGGTTCTTCTTAGTACAAGGTTTCCCGCCGTAGATTTACAAACCCATGGCATAGCTTCTAAACATTCATGAGTGCTTGTAACAGCCTAAACTGAATAAATGATTTTGATTATGATTATAATTGAGCTAATACAGCTGTGTAATGTAGCGTTTTAGGACAATCTATGGTTTGACAATCGATAGTTGAACATAGAAAATATTTATCCCACCAAAAATATTATCATGTAAAATGTTGCCAAGACGAGACCATATGACTCTCACTGTCACAAAGTTATCAGATCTCATGTAGAGCAAAGCTTTTAACACTACACTTCCTAACTCTAATTGTACAGTTAGGGAGTGTAGTGTAAAAAGCTTGGCTTGGCTTAAATAAAGTTTTAGAGTTTGTGAAGTTAAACATTGGCCTAACATCACAAACTCTAAACTTTATTTAAAGCGGCTTGGCCATTTCGCTACATTTTTCATGGACACAAAATTTTATCCACTGGTCATTATTTTTGTGTCATACAATAGTTCTTGTTGTAACAAAATACAGAAGCCACAAAATAGTGATAGCAATAGTCCCACACTATACACTATTGCTACACATTTATAATATCGATATTTTTGATATTTTTCAATAAAATTTCGATAGATTTAGAACTATCGAAAACATCGATATGTTTTCTATAGTTCTGAATATCATCGATAGGATTGCACTATTGATAGTACGGAAATAGTTGTTTTAGTAGTACTTATATTTTAAGTACCGTTAATCTCTTAAGGACCAATAATGCTATATAACATCTTGCGAAATGAGTAAGTATGTAGGTAATTAATTTAAACTTGATTAAGGTATCACATTTTTTGGCTATCGAAACTTTCGACATTACTATCGATATTCCAATCTAATGCTGCAACACTAGTGTAATGTATATAGATCAGGTGCTTGGGACCGTCCTGTCCATTAGTTGGAAACATCCAAAGTGATCAATAACATCGGTACGAGTATCCTATATACCTACCTGCATAGTTCCAAATTATATCTCTTACAGATTAATGGAGCATTAAATGCGCGATAGTGTGAGTTTGATAATATATTACTTAGTACGAATTCGAGAGATTACCTCTATTTGGCAAAATGCTGTTGATCCGAAATTCATGTGGCATAATCTTTTTTGACTATAATTCTTAATAAATAACCTTTTGCAAAATTTTATTCTGCGTAATTTCGTTGAGCATAATTGCTGTTTATGTTCAGTGGGTTGAGGTAAGTTAATGTGCTGACTTAGATAAAGAATAGATAAACAAGGAAAAGTTTAATTTTCGTTTGCCAAAAGACGATTCTGACTGTGAACTTCTTGCGATTGGTTTTTAATTATTGTAGATATTAAATTAATGCCTAAAGAAAATCGTAGTTACCAAATTATTCGTTGTTGCCTTTATACTAAATGAGTGAGTGTCAAATGATTTTCTTCGGAGTGAAGTTGATGCCATCCTCTCTTATGCATAATAATATTATGACATTAAACGTTCTGCGTTGCAAGGTAGATCCGAATTAGGGTACCCTCTATTCGTTTATTTTGTCTTTATCTGACGTATGATTGATTGTAACGGAAAATAATAGTACATACAAACTAGGAAAATTAAAGATTTCAATTAAAATCAAATAACTTTGATATAATTCGTTAATTAACCAAAGGTTTTATAGTATTCACTATTTTATTTCGTGTGGATAAATGTTTTAGTTACTATTTCAGTTTATTCCGTAGATATATTACATTTACCTAAATACGGGATATTGCATTGTAATAACCCAACTAAAGATTAACGCACAGGTATCTGCGCGGATATGAATAATTACCGTCTTTTAATATCTTTGACGCTGTAATTTTTTCACGTTTACTTATTTATCTTTCAACTGCATGAAGCTTTGCCCCTGTGACTTCGTTACCCATGTGGTACTGAGCTCCTGATAACTAAAGTTGCCGCTGACATTGTAACTTTTCTCTCGCAGACGAATTCCGCAGCAAAGTCGGTTGCGAGAACGATGTACTCCACCTGAGCTGTAACCCGCACTCCAGAGTGGCAATATACTCGGCGCAGTACGGGAGGACAGAATACGACTCGATACAATGTCCACAGCCCCGGGGGATGAAGGAGGAAAGTGAGTATTGCATTGTAATGATCCATTGCTTTGTTTCTGGTCTCATCAACAGTGATTAAAGCGTTGAACAAAACATATCTAAGGATATAGATATTTATATATATTTTATATATATACTAGAAAAAACATTTATCGAAAATATGAATGAATAGTTTATAAAACAGTGCACCTCCCTTGATGCGGGTGCGGCGGCGGCCTCTGCTGAATGCTCCAAACGGCGCAAATATTCAGCTCTCAATGAAAACTATATATTTGTGCCGTTTGGTGTTGAGACCATGGGCCCATGGGGTCCAAGCGCTCGTTCCTTTTTTAAGGAAATGTCAAAGAGACTCACCCAAGTTACTGGTGATCAAAAGGCTGGCAGCTATCTTGGACAACGGATCAGCCTTGCCATTCAACGTGGCGATGCTGCCAGCCCATTGGGCACCATCCCTGACGGCAGCGCTGGGGGTGACTTATTTTTTATTTTGTAAATAAGATGTTATTTATAAGTAGGTTAAGGTAATTTATATTTAAATATTATTGATTTTCTGTAAATACAATTATCTTACCAGTTTATAGAGAAAAAAATGTAGTTTTCGAAACAGTGCTAAATACGACGTCCTAAATGATTTCAAAGGTTTGAAAGACATTAATTGAAGAACATTATCCGAAGTTAACTGAAAACCAAGAAATAAAGCACTTGGAGTATAAAAATGTTCCATTGATTGGTTTATTGGTCCAGAAATATATTATGGTATATTGCAGTTGCGAACTTAAGAAGGATTTGCTGAATTTGTGTCTGTGAAAGTTTAAGAAATAAACACATGCAATTATTCTTTACGGTACTATTGAATTCTTATTTAGTTTTACGGAGAAAAATCTCCTATAGAGACTAAGCGTTGAAAATGTTTCCTTTTTCATTTGATCAATTTAAAAACTAAAGGCCGAATAACTCGAAAGGGAGATAGTGCAACAGTGGTAGTCGGTTTCCGGCAGTCGCGAAATAAATAATTTGCTTGTTTTATATTATAACATGAACAGATACTTTAATTTTTTTTATTTATCTCCGATTAATTTTAAATCGTGTTTAAAAATTTAACAATTTTGTAAGAATGCTGGCCCGTCTGATATAAGTTACGTCATATTATTAGTGTGTGTCAGCTTATAACGTCAACTATGGTAAATGTCAATCAGTCCAGTCTAATGCATGATATTCGTAAAATCGTGGTGAATTTATTATACCAATTTATGATTGATTCTTCTTCAAATTGAATACCCACAAAATACCTAATTATGTATAAAAAGATGAACTCAATAAATATGACTGCTTAGTTACCTATTAAATTGAATATATTTGATGCTCTGGCAAAAAAATAATAGATTAATTAACTTGCCATTTGGCAATCTAATTTCATTAATTTCTTTTATTGTTGTTGTTGAATTATTGACAACTTTTATTTTTATTCAAAATTGTTTTGAAATAATATTAATGTTAGTATCAAAATTTCATAACATTTAATAGCTAGTTAAGTGTATATTGCATGTCGTAATCGTCTGTAATTAAAGTTCCATAAAGAAGTTTCTGCTATAAATGTGTAAATAAGAAATGTCTAAGTGTTACTTTGTTGACGATCTAATAAATAAATAAATCTATAATTATATAATTTCATATTATATTAATTATCTTGAAAAAGATGTACAATTAAGGCCCGTATCATAGAAAGATTTTCAGTGATTAATCTAGTCTTGAGCATAGTTAGAAAGGGATGTCGCTATATATAGCACATAGCGACATCCGTTTCTAACTGTACTCAAGTAAAGATTAATACTTAGTTATCATTCTGTAAAACGGGCCTTAGTCTCATAAAAAAATTGGGGTCTGCCGGAGACTCACTACCACCTGTCCATACAAATTTGAACCGTCTGCTTTGCTTAATGATTCCACTCTTCATGCACTGACACAGATACATTAGTGCTATTTTCTTTCAATACAAAGTATATTGAAAGTCTAACTAAGCATAACATGGCTTGCGTTTAAATAAAAAAAAAACTGAGCTCCCCAGAATGGCGACTAGAAGACACGCCCACATTAAATTTAAAACAATAGCTTGTTTTGTTTTCATTTCTATACGATCGGAATTCAATTTTTACGATCGGAATTCAACCGCTTTTGAACACTTTTTTTATATCGGGAATGTCATTTTTGGCGACGGCGAAAGTTTACCCAATTTCCGGAATCAACACGGTAACTGAATAAGGGAGGACATCTTCATGTCCAGAATCGGCACCACTTATTTTATTTGTAAACCTTCTAACATTATATTGAGATACAGAATCGACCAAAGTCAGTAAATATTTAATTTATTAATTTATCAAGCGTAATGTTTAATCTTAAAACTAGTAATATGTATTATTGGATTTTAAATGGAAGTTAGTATGATATTAAAGTTACATTATTTTAATTAATTGATGAATCCCGAACGTTAAATGAAACGGTTTTAAATAAAGTCCGGCTAAACAATTATTACACTTTGAATATCTCATTTAGAGTTACGTAATAAAAGCGTTACGTCGCGTCGCGTCGCTTCGCCTCCAAAAGTCGCTATGTGGTTTTTTACGATATTTGTTTATTAGATAATTTTGAAGGCTTTTCCGAGACGCACAGACTGTTGAAACCGTTATGTGATAGTGTAAATATTGACGTATTTATGAAATCTAAGTATATGGCGTTCTAGCTCTAAATGCTCATTGTAAATCGCTTTGTGTTCAGAATTACTTAGCTATATTAGGTTATTTCTGCATAGATGCGTCGGCTGCGCCCGATATGTGCCTATAGTGCAGGCATATAGTGATTATTCTCTACTAGCTTATGCAACTTGGACAATTCAGCTGTTTTTGTTTGATACCATTTCAGAAATACAGATATACCGTCAGGAAAACGTTTTAAAAATTATAGAATACATTTCAATCACTTTAGGACTACTTCTTATTTCACCAACCATTTTTTTGGAAAATACACGATGTACAAGGCCGGGAATCCTACAATTTTATCGCATTTGCGTTATAGTTAGATTTTTGAGAACCCCACCCATTTAACATTTTTTCGGTATATAAAATATCCCATATTCTTGAATTCTCTAACAAAATTAATACCAAAATTAAGCTAAATCCGGTCAGTGACTTGAGCGTGAAGAGGTAGCAGGCAGATAGACACACTTTCGCATTTAAAATATTAGTAAGTATGGAATTATCACCCTTTGGAGCACAATACCTATTAATAAAAAAACAAATAAAAAATAATACGGAAAATAATCACGCTTAAAAATTTATTAAATCTTTCTGAAGTTAACAGAAAAATAAAACCATTATGATAGCATTTACGTTTAAATTTGATTAATATTAGGATCATGTCATTTCATGTCGAAATAACAAGAAAACAAATTAATTTCAGCTTTTGATACCAGCATCAAAACTTTTTCCTCGTTGAGACAATTTATTTTACTGTGTTATATTATTTCAGGGTCAACAAAAAGTGTCACATAAAACGTGCCTCATTCTATTTTATCGTTTTGCGTATGAAAAGTAGGTTCTAGTAAACTAGTGGATGCGCACGACTTCGTTTTCGTGGAAAAAATGAGTTTCTCATACAAACTCAACCCCCCCCCCCCCTTTTCTCTCCCTTAAAAGGTGGTTTCTATGATAAAAACTATCCCATATCCTTTCCCAGGTCTCAAATTATCGCTTTACTATATTTCATCCAAATCGGTTCCGCGGATTAAGCGTTAAGAGGTAACAGACAGACAGACACACTTTTGCATGTTTAATTTTATAGTATAGCATAATAGTATATACAAAAAAAACAAAATTCAATATCGTTTATTTAGTTTAGGCTGTTACAAGCACTTGGGAATGATAAAAAGCTAAGACATCGGTTCTTCAGCGGGAGAGGACCTTCTACTGAGGAGAACCGGCGAGAAACTCAGCAAGGGCTGTTGTGCTGACTTCAATATAAGATCATTGATGAAGTCACTTTCCATTACAAATGTAAATGGTATAAAAAAATATAACTTTAAAATAAAAAAAAATATAAAAATTTGATTTAACAAAGTTTAAGAATGCCGTGACCTATGCTACTGTTTAGGCATAAAAAATTTACGATTAAAGTTGAATACAACGATTAACAGTACCCAATGCAGCAAGAGCAGACTCATCTCCGCTGGCAGTAGTATAATTGAAGTTTAGTATGGATATGGAAGTATGCATTGTAGGATTACATAATGTTGTAGCTATCCGTTACAAAGGAAAGCATTTAATGCGATAAAACAGTAAATATCTTGAAAGTAATAATTTGAGTAGTACAAATCATTAGATGTAAATATTAAATACTTAGTTAAACTCTTATTATCAATAAAAATATAGGTTTTTTTATTGGCGGACCACCTAATTTATGAACCATTTGTGAACAAAATATTTGAAACGGAGGTATACTATGTTGCAAGTTGCTTTGATTGATGATTAAGATGATTAAGGTCCACTTGCAGCAATTTTGCTAAATCTCGATTCAACTAAAACTAAATGTCAGCCAGAGAAAAATTACAAAATGTCAGTGTCAAATTGACATCATTGTATGAGATGAATCTAGTTTAAGTTAAATGGAGATTAGCAAAATGCCTGCAAGTGGGCCGCAGTTAGACAAAATCCACCGTCACGAAAAGTAACTCTATTAAGCGTCATCCTCACCGGATCGATTGATGCGGACTCGTTTCGATTTCATATATGTACCGAATCTGTACAGATTCTTTACCGAGCGCATACACACCTCTCTGTATAGAGTGCTACCGAACCGTACCCCTAGAACGAACCATTATCGAATTCGAATAGTTTGCAAACAGAAATGTCAATGAAAAATTTTGTATGGAAACTTGAACAGCAGCGGCACAAAGTACGTAACGAGAACTAAAATCAGTACACATTCGACAGTGACATTTCGAACTCGCAAACCTTACGAATTCGATATTGGTTCGTGCTAAGGATACCGCTGGACTTGCCATTGACGTGACGGCACTATAACAAATGACAAACGCCGTAAGAAACAAAACGAAACGACACCGCACCGAAACAGAGCCTTTCTTAAAGTGGTTCTCGGTAAAGAATCAGTTCAGATTCGGTACAGACACGAAAACGAAAGGATCCGGTGAGGAAGGTGACTTAAATGAGTTTTATTTATACGTTTTTATTTGTCTCATAATCTCGCATCTCTGATCCTCGGTCTGGCCTCAGGGGATATTTGGATTGAATCAAGCTGTGTCGATGTTTTCTACATAGCTATGATAACATTGCAACCTTTTAGCAAATTACTTTTACGCTGAATGCTATTTCATCTTATTTTAATGATCTCTTTCTGAATTAAAAATAAAGAAGGTATAAAAAAAAGTATCTAAGCGAGTCTCTTCGCACACGAAAGATTATATACATTGTGGTCGATCGAAAAAAAAATCTTTCGAAAAGTAGTAGTGTAGTTGCCCGCCGTTACCACAAAACTTCAATATCAGGAGGAGTAGCGATTCAGGAACCGTTGGTACAGCACCATATAGCGGCAGCTTTGTGGAACTAATGATATTTTATTGTGGTCTTTTAAATAGTTTATTTTAATTTGTTTTACAAACAAAGGTTTTACGTTTAATAAACAAGCAATTACTCCATCTAACTAAGGCTCGTAATACAACGTATTTTGCTGCAAGTAGGCTCAACTATAGCAAGTATAAGGATAATGTAAATTTTTTTTTCTTCATCAATTAATTACCTAGGCTATCAAAAAGTATTCGAAGTGTATTTTTTTACACACATAACCAAAACATTACAGAGATATATTGATTTGAAATGTCGCATGACGCAATTTTTACTAAGAAGTGACGTCACGAGCCCCCACTCGCAAAATTTGACACGTTTCTTGATTTATGTCATTTTTGGTTGATTGACAAAATAAAAAATGAGTCTATTTTATTTATATTTTGACAGACGGATTAATCATATCGTTTACTTGCCCCGTCACCATCCCTTTTGCGATAGGAACTTCAACAATCGCAATTGAGTCGTATTAAGATTTCACGGTACGAGTCTTCTGTGCTTTATTGACTTAAACGACTCAGAGCTTCATCTACCACTTAATTGATAGCGGCTGACAAACAACTTTCCAACGCTACATATTTACTTTCATTTGGCTAAAGTCGTCAACAAACTAAAATTTAACGTCGGGGACTGGGAAAACGAATTTATCCAATAAACAGATCTCAATAGGCTGTTTTGCATATCAAAACTAAATTAGCGCCTCCACAGAGAACTGAGTTAACTCATAGGGAATGAATGGTAAACAATTTTCCAATGCTTTTGTACGCGTCATACGAATTTAACAAGATTTATCTTGTTAGAGCTGATGCGACATGTTTGAATGGGGATAATATTTTTAGTTACATTTGATCAGTTTACTTCGCTTCAATGACCGCCTGGGTCATACTTTGCCCTTTTTATGTTAAAAAGATGGGAAACAAGCGTATGACCTGCCTGATGATAAGCGTCCAGCATAGCCTATAGTCGCTTGCGATACTAAAAATATTGCCATTGCCTACCCTGATCTAATCCCCCCTACCCCTTGGAGACCCCAACACCGCCAAAAGGTAGTGTTATTTTACTGTGATCTTCGTAAGGTGGAGGTTATTTTCCTGATGCATTGTATGCAGACATTAAAATCTCAAGATAGGGACTAGGACTTAAGCGAGGTCAAATCTTTGGACTAATTGGCTTATTAATCTGCTAAATCTATTTTTGCAAAGGTTAAAGAGAAAAATACTGAATATTGTTGTTTTAAGTTCAGCTCTTACAATTTTGAGAATACTGTTGGTTGTAACAATTATTCTTAATATTTCAAAAGGATTACCAGTAGCATTCCTTAAGCATAGCATATTTAAGAAAATAATTATTAAGCAGCATTTCAAATTAGAGTATCAATTGTGTTAAGCACTTGATAGTTTTAGACTTAATATTATTAAGTTATATCATTATGTAAATTAGCTGAACATATTTATAACTACGGACCCGTCCCGGCTTCACACGGGTGTACTAAATATTATGGAAAAATAATGAATCAGCATCCGAAAAAATAACATGAATAAATTAATACAAATTTTGAAATTAAGTGTCTTGTGTAAGTCTTTTCCATTGCCTGTTGGAAGCCTCGTAGTCACACTACGACCTACAGACAGACTTTTTGACTCTATGACGAATCACAACAGACTGACAGACTTTTTGACAGATCACAACTGACTGACAGAGGTTTTAACTCTTTGACGGATCGAAACTGCCTGACAGAGATTTTTACTCTTTAATGGATCACAACTAACTGAAAGTTTTTTTTGACTATTCAACAGATCAAAACAGACTGACTTCTTTGACTATTTTGATAGATCACAACAGACTGACAGACTTTTTTACTTTTGACAGAACACAATAGACTGACAGACTTTTTGACTTTTGACAGATCACAACAGATTGACAAACTTTTTTACTTTTGACAGATCACTACTGACTGACATAGATTTATTCATTCGTGCCCAAAAAGCGTCGAAACACTTGTTTTAGTAGGGAAATCGATGGGTTTTAATTCTAATTAATAAAAAAGCTTTTCGGCAAAAAGGTGTTAATTTTCATACATTTTTTTTAAATGGTCTCGAACTAACTTATTGACTTACAAAAACAATGTTTTACATAATGTTCGTTTTTAACCGACTTGAAAAAGAGGAGGCTCTCAATTCGTCATTACATGTTTTTTTATTGATGTTTGCGCATATCTCCGAGATGTGTGGACCGATTTTAATTATTCTTCTTTTGTTTGAATCAGATTTTCGATTTGCATATTTTTTTATTTGTTTGAATCAAAATTTTGGCGAAATAGTCCTGTATTTATTTGATGAGAATCTGATCAGTACTTTCGGAGAAAACAGTGGACTCCTGAATTACAAACAGTACTCAATTCAACTTCGAAAACGAATTTGGTTGTTTTAAGAGATATGAAAAAGATAATGCAAGTCAGGTACCAAGTACTTAGTAAGTTGATCTTGCTCTGGTTTATAAAAAGCGTAAAATAAAAAAAAATGGCAAAAATAAAAACCAACTTCATACAAACAAAACCACTAAAAAGAAGAAATTATGCATATTCTTTACTTAGATCAACATTAAAAAAAAATTTGAAGTCGGTGGCATGGCATTATTTCCCTCCCATCTCCCTTAAAGGCTGGCATCACATTTGTGATAGTCCTGGTTTTGCAGGTGCCTATGGGAGACGGTGCTCACTTACCATCTGGGAGCCGACATTTTATTAATTTTCATAACTACAATACATTCTTTATTAAGGCTACAAAATCCTGAATAAATGTTGCAGAAAAAGTAATATTTTTTATAATATATCCTGTTTTGAAGAAGTACAAATTATAAAACAGGTATATTTAACATGACATATTCACAGATGAATCTAGGTTCTTAATTAATGTTTACCCAAAAAAATATCGTGCGCAAAGTAAATATAAGAAATACCTACGTACAAAAAGATTAATTCGATAATTTCTTCCACAGCTTGCTTAGAACCTTACGCTACGGAGACTGCGATGAGAGAGTGCCACGGGAAGAGGCGGTGTGTCCTGTCCGCGGACGGAAATATGTTCGGCAAGCCGTGCCGGACCGGCAGTAGGACGTACCTGAAAGTTGTGTATACATGCGGTAAGCATTAGCATTTATTTAAACTAGCGGTCCTAATAGCTGATACTCCACGTTTTTAGTTCTTCTGCCACGGGAACATAAGCTGCGTCCTATCTGCTAACGGCAATATGTACAGCAATTCCTGCCGGACAGGAAGGAGGTCGGTCTTTCAAAATTTACTAAATAGGGGGTACAAAAGCCTGTAACAAGCGTCGTCATTGCGAAATAACTCTGAGAATCCTTTGCTATGCAATATTTCGTACAGTTAGCAATAATAACTTACTGTGGCACACCAGTTATCGTTGTTTCTAAACTTTACCTTCACTTAAAACAAAGTGGGTCGAAATTATTTACATTGACCTATTTATAAAAAAAAAATGTGTGGTGTGTCAGCTCCGACGCACGACTGGAGTTTACTCCTTAAGTTCGATAGTCTAACCAGACGCAAAAAGAGTTTATTTAACCAAAAAAAGATACATACTGCATGAAAGAGTAAATTAACAAATTAATAAAAATAATATACATATATAAATATATATTTATTCATTTCATATACATTTATTATAACTCATTGACGAAATATTTTACATTAAACTTTTTATAATAGTCAATTTCAGATGTGCATAAATATATCATTAGGAATGTTGATAAATTATGTAATTATTATTATCAGACTATTATCATTTTTTAAATATTAATTGAATCAACATTGTCTGCATTATTAATTATAGTGACAAGTGGTTTATGGTAACTAAAATAAGACACATGGACGTTCGTAGATACGTGGTTCACGAATCTTGAAAATACCGCATCAGTGGTTGTACCATACCTCGTTGTCCCCATTGCTCTATCAGAAACAATATCTAAATTCAGTTCAAATATAAAAAAAAATATTAATGTCAATCCGTCATCTTTTTTTGTCAAAGTTGCGCAACATAGGATGCGCACCAAAAACGTAACGAGGTCATTCATCGATAGATTTTACTCCTCACATTTTTCTCATACCGGGCCCTTTATATAAGCAAATCGATTCTTAAAGAGTAAACTCCAATAAAAGCTTGTTAAAATATTGTCTTATAAGAAAATTTAACACCAGATTTATTCACGGTTACTGAAATAATATTTCGTATTATATTTCAAATAATTGGATGTGACGTATCAGTCACTCAGAACTTATCTTCGTATTAAGACTCAACCTACACTTGAAATGAAGTAGCGCGAAGACATTTTGCTAAACCTTATAAAAAAAAATATTTCTATCAATTTTTATACAGGGTGGTTCAACTAGTGACGTTAACAAAATTTTTTTTGATTCCTCGCACCTGGGGGTTTCCGAAAATACACCGTGTATGTTCCGCAATTTTACTTAGTTTCCGAGTGTTATTTTTTTTGTGTATTTTTAATGACTTCTGTCAGCGAGGTTTCAAAAATTCATATCTTTTTTCGTAGGGGTATTTTGCAGTCTTTTTTTTGCGACTTAATTGTCTTAAATGTTGTTTTAATAATAAAAAAAAACTCAGGTTCCTTAAAGTTACTCAAAAAAGGCTTGAAAGTTGGAACTTTAGTTTTTAGTATGATTTACTCAAACATTCAACTTCAATTTAAAAATACAAAAAGGAGTTTCCATAGCTTCTGGCTAGAATTAAAAACTCTGCATCTTTCCAAACTACCAAAATTCATAAAAAAATAGTACTTAATCAGTCTATTTTTGTTGAATAAAATTCTACATGCTAAAGTTATTTTACAGGAATTTCAATTGAATTAAATTTGCAATTACATTATTGAGTTTAATTTACCAATAAATTACAATGATAAAAAGAAGATAAAATATTTTTAAATGCTTTAATCGTGTTTCAATGATTTTTAGCCTATCCGCATTCGAAGGCCAATTACAACAAAATACGCTGATTAAGTACTATTTTTTATGATTTTTGGTACTTTAGAAGCATGCAAAGTTTTTAAACTGAACCAGAAGCTATGGAAACTCCTTTTTATATTTCTAAATTGAAGTTAAAACTAGAAAAAGCGCGGAACAAACATGGGGTATTTTCGGATAACCCCAGGTGCGAGGAATCTAAAAAAAATTGTTGACGTCACTAGTTGGACCAACCTGTATAAAATCAACCATAAAGACATTGTTTTCCAAATTTCCAATCAACGTTATTTATCTGACGGCAGACATTTTAGCCATATTTTTTATGGTTCGCCATTTCGAATTAGCGATGTGTATTTTTAGAGCTAGGGAACAAGCTAGGTCAGGTAGGTCAATAAGGATTATGTCCTAACTAAAAGATTCAAAGAATATATTTAGGTATTTTCACAGTAAGGTAATTTAATTTATTGTTATATGTATTTTGTTTCAGAGGTTAGACATACCTTTGATTGTGTGATTGGCACATTATCAATATACATAACCTTATTTACTTCATGTTTGCTATATTACATCATTTCTAAGTGAAATTCAAACTTATTGATTCGTATTAAATATGAAACTGAGAGAGACATTGAGAGTTTTAATAATGTGCAACTTTAATTGTCGATCATCTGTCTAAGATGATTGTTTCTTTTGGAGTTTGTTATTGAAAATTTCCGAAAAAAGTTTCCCTTTAATCGACACTCGTCATTCGAATGTATAGACAGCCAGAGGTCGAGCTATCCAATACTGTTAAATTTCTTTATCTAACTTTGACCTTCACCTTGCTGATAAATTACCAATTGAGAAATTTCGACATTTCAAGGTATCTTAAATGCTACCTTTACCTAGACAAGGTGTTTGCCGTAGCTAAATTGCAAGAACAAAAGTTACCGTTGAAACAGTGAATGTTATTAAAATGTCAAAGCCGACGAGAGAAAATTGTTTGCGTCGTCTTAGGCGAATGAATGTTTTCTTTTTATCCTGAAGCCCCGTAAAAGAGTCGTAATTCTGTTTATTGAGAACTCGAACTCTACTCTAATAAAATGGACGAACACAACTTCTTTGTTATATAAGTAATGTAGTCAAGGTCGCGAATATTTTTATACGACACTGGGTTGATTTTATGAGTATAGTTATACATCAGTTTTATTGACTGCCTCAATGCTACAGTGAAAGGGCTCTCTCTGTCTACCCCGGCCTCGTGTTTTGTCGAATAGTAATGGAAAAATACATTCCGAGAAACCATTAGATGTTTCTGGTGAAACGTTTATTGTGTTCTTTTTTATCGAAACATTTTTTGTGCGTTGATTACTACCTGTATTGGTTGGGAAGAAGTAATCAAAAATAATTTATATACTAAATGGAAGGCTAGACATTGACATGGGGTGTTAAGTGAACCCTCCAGTAGCTTCTATTCAAAAGACTGACGATTTGGAAGAGACCAATACTGAAATCCGATTGCTGATTTTTTTTCCTGCTCTAGACGTTCGACCCTATAAAGAATTCAGGCGTGACAGGAGCATTTTACAAGGTGCAAGGTTGTCTTCTTATGTTATTCTGCCGCACTCGAGTAAATCCCAATATCCCCGTTGGAATCTCCTACTGTAAATGGAGTCTTTTCGATTCTTGTTGATGTAATGAATATTTTTTAATAACAATATTTGGCCGTATCCTATTCACCAAACAAGAGTACATAAGTATAAAAGGTAAATTCACAATAACCGGCCAGTAGCAAGTCAGACTCGCAAACAGAAGGTTCCGTAACATAGTGCAATAATAAATGCTAGATCGAGCAAAACAATTGCTTAAAAAAAAGTTGTTTCGGCGGACTCTTTAAATCTATCAAACCTTGTTAAATTACTTTCCTTTTTGCTTAATAGCAGGCACCTATCCTTTGATGGGCACGGAAAAATGTAAGCATTTGCAATTGAAAAACAAACTCAACAAACAGTCATTCCAGATACTGCCTAACGACTTTCCAGCTTCCTGCATTATTTATGTCCACACAATTATAAAAAAGTGTCTGGTATCATAACAAGACAACTCTGTAAGCTTTCTGTACTAAAAAAACAGCCAAGTGTGTGTCGTGCCACGCGCAGTGTAGGGTTCCGTAGTTGCCTGTAGTTACCACAATATATTTGAGCATGAGTCTTTACTTTCTATATCGGAAATTAGAAAAACCAAATATATCAATATATGTATCTTAACTAAAATACCGAAATCAAAGTCAAACTGCGTCTCAAACTCAAAATCAATTCGATGTTATTATTATTTTAATACGAATGATTTTTCCTCATGGATGGGTGCAAGGTTATGTCAGACTCTTACTGACGAAACCACACCCGTAGTTCATGCTTATGGCTAGAAGGGTCTTACAAGCCTCATCTGATGCGATCATTCCCGGAGAAGGGGATTGATGGATGCGGTATAACCGCCAATCTTTTCAAGTGCTTTTATACTTTTTATAAAAACGTAAAGCAACCAGCGGCAACGACTCAGAAGCCGTTGCCGCTGGTTGCTATATATTTTATTGTGGTTTTTAAATAATCTTTATTTAGATTTTGTTTTTCGATGCAAGGTTTTACGCTACAATAACTTCAGATATGTCACTATTAATGGTTTCTTTTAAGGAATTTTCAATAGGTAAGAAATTTTCTTTATCCAAAGTTGAATGACTAGATATTACTCGTAATCTAACAAATCTTTCTTAACCGTTATAGTTTTCCTTAAAAGTTCATGAAAAGACTGAAATACTAGAGCGCTGTTATTTTGTAGAGATATGTATAATATCGATTACGCCGACAAAATGGTAGAATAAAATTTTATAACATATTTTCTTAGGGTAGCTCCTCAACATATGGTGTTATTTTTTTTTCATCATCTACCTCATCGTTCGGGATATCGTTGAATAAGGCCTTTAAAATAAATTACTTGGGGATTCTTAAGACTATTTTTCGATTTGGATCCGTTTGCGAAATATTGAACTTTAAAGTGCTAATTTGATTCGAGTAGAGCGTCCTCCCCCCTCCCCTCTTAGCTAAACTATTGGCTTGAAAAACATACACAATGTAAAATCCATGATAATAGCCTTGCTATGACATGTTGA